ATAAGGGCGATACTTATGTAAACTTCTACTACAAATAGATATCTCAAAATCAGACAATCTAGGAAACGAGTACTGCTGCTCTCGTACAGTCTTACAATCGTGATCTAAGCTATATGTATCGACTATGTAGATTAGTGCCTACCTATAGTTTACGTAACAAGTTTATTATATTATTCGAGTTATGCTTGTACTTTGTGTATTTTTTGCATTGATTTATACTTGACGTAGCGTCGACTTCTTCTAGTGTTATACTAAGTTACGAGTTAGTATAAGGGCGATACTTATGTAAATCTCTACTACAAGTAGATATCTCAAAATCAGACAATCTAGGAAACGAGTACTACTGCTCTCGTACAGTCTTACAATCGTGATCTAATCTATGTGTATCGACTATGCAGATTAGTGCCTACCTATAGTTTATGTAACAAGTTTATTATATTATTCGAGGTATGCTTGTACTTTGTGTATTTTTTGCATTGATTTATACTTGACGTAGCGTCGACTTCTTCTAGTGTTATTCTTAGCTACGAGTTAGTATAAGGGCGATACTTATGTAAATTTCTACTACAAGTAGATATCTCAAAATCAGACAATCTAGGAAACGAGTACTACTGCTCTCGTACAGTCTTACAATCGTGATCTAAGCTATATGTATCGACTATGTAGATTAGTGCCTACCTATAGTTTATGTAACAAGTTTATTAATATTATTCGAGTTATGCTTGTATTTTGTGTATTTTTTGCATTGATTTATACTTGACGTAGCGTCGACTTCTTCTAGTGTTATACTAAGTTACGAGTTAGTATAAGGGCGATACTTATGTAAATCTCTACTACAAATAGATATCTCAAAATCAGATAATCTAGGAAACGAGTACTACTGCTCTCGTACAGTCTTACAATCGTGATCTAACCTATGTGTATCGACTATGCAGATTAGTGCCTACCTATAGTTTATGTAACAAGTTTATTATATTATTCGAGTTATACTTGTATTTTGTGTATTTTTTGCATTGATTTATACTTGACGTAGCGTCGACTTCTTCTAGTGTTATACTAAGTTACGAGTTAGTATAAGGGCGATACTTATGTAATCTCTACTACAAATAGATATCTCAAAATCAGATAATCTAGGAAACGAGTACTACTGCTCTCGTACAGTCTTACAATCGTGATCTAAGCTATGTGTATCGACTATGCAGATTAGTGCCTACCTATAGTTTATGTAACAAGTTTATAATATTATTCGAGTTATGCTTAAACTTTGTGTATTTTTTGCATTGATTTATACTTGACGTAGCGTCGACTTCTTCTAGTGTTATACTAAGTTACGAGTTAGTATAAGGGCGATACTTAAGTAAATCTCTACTACAAATAGATATCTCAAAATCAGACAATCTAGGAAACGAGTACTACTGCTCTCGTACAGTCTTACAATCATGATCCAAGCTGTATTTGGGGCTGCACTACAATGATATAGAAAAATAATTAATGATTGTCATTTGGTTAAGGATGTATCGATTTTTGTTGATTTAGCAGTATTCCTAACTTAAACAGATCTGAGATATCGATTGAACGTTAAAGGCAGCTATTTTGCAGGTTTTTGCTGATTTATTAGAACAGTCATTCGTATAGTTATCCAAATTTGGCAAATACATTGAGAAGAGCATACAAATCTATTTTATTCCATCCCATCTCTTGGTTCTTCTTCAAAACTGAAAATATGAATAATCAGTCTACTAAGACTATTCCTGATGAAGTCGAAGCTCTTTACAAACAGGGTTGGAAATATCAAAATCATCGCCATTACACGTCAGCGCTTGATTGTTATGAAAAAGTGATTACTCAAATAGAATCGATACCCCAAGGTAACTATGATGCTCATAAACTTAAATGTCATGTTTATCTGGAAATGGCTGATTGTTGTACAGAAGAACATAAACGGTTAAAAGCCCAAAAATGGATTAGTGAAGCAGAGAAATTAGCTAAACAACTACAAGACGAAGCGAAGGCTGCAATACGCTTGGATAGGCGGAGAAACGTTAAACGACTTGATGGTGATTGTAAAGGCGCCTTGAAAGGTTTTAAAGATTCTCCTGATTTGAAATTAAAACCGTCAAGAGGCGAAAATATCGATGTTAATGACTCCTACGATGACAATGGCGTTAAGTACACTAATCTAGGCAAGTACCGTGAGGCTTTAGACATACAATACATTCTCGCCTTTAATTCTCGATCGAATCTTCACTGATTTTTTATACATGTCTACATTATAAAAACTCTCGGATGATATTCTATATCCAACAGACGTAGCTAATATATCGGAGACCAATGGCGTAATATCATCAGGTTTTAGCGATAGCGTCGCAAGTGGCCAATTTTGCAATAATGATGATAATACGAATAACCGAAATAATATTAGTAGCAATAATAATGAAGCACCGACTTCAGCACCATCTACATCATCAAGTAATCAAATGACTCCACCTGTTACTGGTATGGCTACGTCCATACGGTCGTTTGGAAACGATTTTAATAATTTTAGG